ACAATCTACCTGAAGAATAAACATATTTGTCATATTCCTAGTTTTGGAAGAAAAAAGTGCTCTGGTGGAATTAGGTATGTGTTTACATTCTATCTTTTAAAAAAAAATAATAATCTACCTGAAGGATAAACATATTTGTCATATTCTTAGTTTTGGAAGAAAAAAGTGCTCCGGTGGGATTAGATATGCGTTCACATTCTATCCTTTAAAAAAAAACCCTACTCTTTGGAAAGGAAATTATAAACTGATGTTAATCTATTAAAGAATTCGTTTGGGAACGCTCTTTTTGGTGACTTTAATTTTTTTAGTCTTTTTATTATATTAAATATATATAAGATATTAATTAAAATAAATATTAAATATATTAAATATATTTTGTGATATTTAAAAATTAAAAAAAAAAAAGTACAAATATAACTACAAAACAGTGCTCTCAAATCAGTCTAAATAATATTTATTAGCTATTTTACAAGTCTTTCAATTATTTTTGTAATTAAATTAAATAAAATTAATATTTTTTAAGACAATATTAAAAATTTTATGTGACTTTAATAAAAAATAACGTGAGATTAACCATGCCCCAATGGATATTTCATATATCACCCTTCAACCAAACATTATTCTGGAGGATTTAAGAAACAGTAGCTGTTGGATTCTATAAATAGCCCGCATTTGGTCATCCAAGCACTCATTAAAAAAAAATGGCACTGCAAACACCTTCAGCAGCCATGATCCACTACCAAGGAATTAATTGTCTACCACTTCCACCAATTCCTCCTCCTCTGGCAATAGGAGCTAGACATCATAGCTTTGCATGCTGTTCCCTGAATACTAACTCAGGAAACGCAGATCTGCTTGCTCGTTTACCACAGAATACCAAACAAGACACTTTCCGTCCTCTCATAACCTTCCCCCCTGACATCTGGGGCGATCGTTTTGCCTCTTTTTCCGTCGATAACTCTGTATTAATTACATCTCCATCTACTTCATTTTCTTTTAATTAATTTCTCAATACCTTATTGACAAAGAAGTTTTTTTTTTTTTTCTTTGGTTTGATTTAAGTGTTCTACTTGATTTTTATATAAGATTCGATTAAATAATTTTACATAATAAATAAATGGTAACTAAAATTTTTTTCTTTATATACCTAATTTTTGTTGAGCATTCTCATTTAGGTAAAAAAATAATTTAATTGCCATTCATTTATTATATAAATTATCAAATTAATTTATATAGAGTTGAAAGATTAAAACAACTTAAAAAAACACGAGGGAGTAATTAACATCCCGTTCATGTTATTTAATTACTATTTGCTTTTGTTTGTCCAGGAATTACTTGAATCATACTCAAGAAAAGTGGAGTCATTGAAAGAGATTGTGGGAGACAGTTTAATAGCTACTAAAAGCAGTCCATTGGAGAAGGTCAATTTGATCAATTTGTTGTACCGCCTTGGCGTCTCATATCACTTTGAAAATGAGATTGAAGAGCAACTGAATCATCTTTTTGAGATCTCAAATGAACTCGTAAAAGTGCATCACCATGACCTATCAAGTGTTGCACTCATCTTTCAAGTCTTTAGACAACATGGTTACAACATTCCGTGTGGTAAGTAAATCCAAGCTTAATTAATTAATTTGTCACTGCTTTGCTTTAATCTTAGGTAATATAATTCTATAAATAATGTCTACTTTTTACCATCAATTAGATGTATTTAGCAAGTTCACGGACAAAAATGGCAAGTTCAAGTCTAAACTAGGCAGGGATGTGAAGGGCATCCTAAGCTTGTATGAAGCATGCCAGTGGGGAATTCAAGGAGAGGACATTCTAGACGAAGCCAATGCATTCACAATAGATCAGCTGCAATCCTTGGCAATGCAATCAAGGCCTCATCTTCGACAATACATTCTTGATGCTCTGAACCGGCCGTACCATAGGGGCGTGCCAAGAGTGGAACATAGGCAATTCATCTCTTTCTATGAACAAGAAGAGTCTTCCAGGAATGATACACTGCTAAACCTTGCAAAGTTTGATTTTAACCGGATACAACTATTACACCAGCAAGAATTGAAGTTCCTTGCACGGTACATAAGTTCTAGAGATTATTTATGTATAGAATCAAAAATGAAATGAGAACTGAATCATATATATTCCGTTAACTGTGTTGCAGTTGGTGGAAAGATCTAAACTTAATGTCAATGGTTAATATAAGAGATAGAATTGCGGAAGTCCACCTCTGGTCTGTTGCACATTATTTTGAGCCACAGTACAGCCGTGCAAGGAAAATATTGTCTCAACTTTTTCAGCTTCTGGGAGCTCTTGATGACACATATGATGCATATGGTACATATGAGGAACTTCGATGTTTAACACATGCCATGTTAAGGTTGAGCCCCGCATCTTTATAATATTTTATTTTATTTTTTGGTATTAAGCTAAATTAAAGGGTGATGTGTGTTAATTAATTAGGTGGGATAGGAGTGCCCTTGATCAACTTCCCACGGATCCCTTGAAAGCTCTATACAAAGCCATCTTGGATACTCAC